TTGTCCGTATGTCTGTGTGTCTGTGTGTCTGTGAGTGTGTCTGTGTGTAAACACGATAACTTCAGTACCGTTACAGCTAGGTAGGTGAAATTTCATATATAAGTATTTTATCAAAATCGTAGATCCGTACCAACTTTTCAGCGATTTCCCATTGCCGGAAGTGGTACTTTTTCTACTTTGAATTTTTCAAAAGCCTATAACTTGAGTATTATTTCAGATAGATAAATGAAATTTCACATGTAAGTAAACGATATAGTTCCCTACCATCTTTCAAAATTTTGAGTATTTTTTGTTGACCGGAAGTACTAATTTACGCTATTTCCAATTTCTCAAAAAAAAAACGCATTTACATTTATAAAGTACTAATAATATTGCGCAATATTATGCACATCTTTATTTGGCGTTCACTTGGAGTGCAGTTCTTTTTCCACGAGATTTTATTCTATTTTAAAAAGTTTAAGTATTTAAAATGGATTAAAAATCATGTCTATATCCCGAGTTCCCATCCCCTGTTGTTTTATATAAGAATATTCGAGAAAGTTTAGGGGAGATCACTCTTTTTATTTTAAAAAGTATTTTGGTATCTGGATCGCTTAATCAGATTTTGGTAGATATAATAAATGCATATTATGTATTATGAACAAGTAACGAATATATATATATATATATATATATATATATATATATATATATATATATATATATATATATATATATATATATATATGAATTTGAGATTGCTGTTTTTATTAAGTGAGAAAGAAACTGGTATATTTATTCCTGCACACAATTACAGTGCAGACTGCACGGGGCGTCTATGTGTTGCACATAATTTTTCCGATACATTCTATTTCATCTGTCGGATGGTAGCGTAGGCGCTTAGCTTTTAGTTCAGAATGGTGTTTTTGTTGCATTGAATGTATATGGACATATTGACTATAAATGGTAAGTACATTTGTAAATAGAATATTTTTTTCTGGCTTCCGGTGTCTATCATAAAGTAAATAAGTAACTCGAACAATTTTAAAATCGTTCTTAAATTAAGAACGCTATAGTCTCAAAGCACGTTAAATGAAGACAAAAAAAATTCATAAAAAAAGTTTTAATAACAAGCTTTTATGTAATGATGCACTAAAAAGTAGAAAATAAATTATAGACTACTATTTAAATAACTATAAAGAAAAGCGTGGGTCACTTTAGTATCTATTTTATACCTTTACTAATGTTAAGGAAGACACCCACGCTTTTCTTTATAGTTATTTAAATAGTAGTCTATAATTTATTTTCTACTTTTTAGTGCATCATTACATAAAAGCTTGTTATTAAAACGTTTTTTATGAACATCACGTTCAGTAGGCGCGCAATGGTTTTTGAACGCAGCCATTACGTGATGGCGCAGCTATTGAAGGTGATGACGCGTGTGGTGTGGTTGGCTAGACTTGCCTACTAATTCGGTCCAAATTTTTATTAATTCATAAAAAATTAATTAGGCATCCAATTAAGTCAGATTTAGTTTCAGATTGCATTGTCTTCATGTCTTGACCCACGTGTCGAATGTGAATCGTATCGGTCAAGTAGAACTGTCCGAATTTTCACTCCTGCGTTTCCGTCTAGAAAGACTGACGACAGACAGAGGAAGTGAGTTAAATAAAAGCTTGTAAAAAAAATTCATAAAAAACGTTTTAATAACAAGCTTTTATGTAATGATGCACTAAAAAGTAGAAAATAAATTATAGACTACTATTTAAATAACTATAAAGAAAAGCGTGGGTCACTTTAGTATCTATTGGATACCTTTACTAATGTTAAGGAAGACACCCACGCTTTTCTTTATAGTTATTTAAATAGTAGTCTATAATTTATTTTCTACTTTTTAGTGCATCATTACATAAAAGCTTGTTATTAAAACGTTTTTTATGAATTTTTTTTTCAGTACTTTACATGTTTTATTTACAATAGAGTAACATGACTAAAAACCATTGCGCGCCTACTGAACATCACGTTCAGTAGGCGCGCAATGGTTTTTGAACGCAGCCATTGAAGCTATTGAGGGTGATGACGCGTGTGGTGTGGTTGGCTAGACATGCCTACTAATTCGGTCCAAATTTTAATTAATTAATAAAAAATTAATTAGGCATCCAATTAAGTCAAATTTAGTTTCAGATTGCATTGTCTTCATGTCTTGACCCACGTGCCAACTGTGAATCGTATCGGTCAAGTAGAACTGTCCGAATTTTCACTCCTGCGTTTCCGTCTAGACTGACGACTGACGACAGACTGACGAGGAAGTGAGTTAAATAAAAGCTTGTAAAAATTACATGCCTTGCTTGCTTTATTACATCTGGGATATTTTATATACAGCTGTAATTATTTTGGTTGTCGGTAGTGTGTGGTTAGGGTGGGGTGGGTTTTAGGGTGAGGTGGGGGTTATGGTGGGAAAGCGTTGGTTAGTGTAGGATGGGGTAGGGTAGGTTATGGTGGAGTAAAGTGCGGCAGGGTGGGTATAGGGTGTGGTACGGTAGGGTTGGGTTTGGGTAAGTTTGGGTACGGTAGGGTGGAGTAGAGTGGCATAGAGTAGGGTGGGGTTAGGGTTGGGTAGGGTAGGGTGGGGTCAAGGTTGAGTTAGGTTTGGGTAGGATGCGTTAGGGTAGGGTGGGGTGGGGTTACATTTGGGTTTCAGCGGGGTAAGGATATGTAGGGTGGGGTAGTTTAGGGAAGGATGGGTTACATTAGGGTATGTGGAGTTAGGGTGGGGAAGAGTGGGGTAGGGTTTTGTGTTGTTAAGTTCGGGTAAATTAATCAGGCATCCAAAGTCAAATTTGATTGCATATTGCATTGTTGGGTCTTGACTTACATGCCAAGTTTGAAATAAATCGGTCAGTTAGAAGTGCTCGAAATTTGGCTCGGCGATTTTGGTCTATAAAAAAAATGAGAGGAAGCAACATAAATGAAAGCTTGTTAGGTTTTTGACCCTTTTTTTTCGGTCCTACAAGAAGTCCATTTTTAGTTTAAACAGCTCAGCCAAACATATATATATATATATATATATATATATATATATATATATATATATATATATATATATATATATATATATATATATATATATATGGCGAATGTTTGTCAGGATATGTTTACCCGAGGAACCAAGGAACAAGGAAATGTAATAACATTATTTCAAATGGACGAACCTCCTCTGTTGATAAATGTTTGGACAAATCACCTAAATAAATCTCTTCTATGATGGTCGTTAGATTTGGTACATTTGAACTATTAAAAAAAATAAAACTATAAATTATTGATGATTTTTTTTTCCATATCCTATGTGCTTTCTTTCTCTGATAAAATTGTATATTACAATACCTAATTATCTGTTAATGAATGTTTGTATCCAGTGTAGTTTTTAATTGGATTTTTTTAGCAGAACTGTCTCACAATGAAAAAACTAGTTCAGATCATCGTCTTAGTTGGACGCCTAGTGGCAATATTTTACTTCCAGCAGTGTAAGTATATTAAGTTACAATATTTTTTTCATTCTACAAGAGCAGTAACATTTCATAAGTATTAGTTCTCAGTTCATGACAGTTTTAAACAGTCATAGTTCGTTTTTCTGTACCTATTTTCGTTTTTTTTAAAACTTAGATACAGTGAGCTACTGGAATTTCTGCTTTCGCTAGTAACACTCCTACAATTCAAAACACATGATTTGAAATGTAGTATCTTAACAACACATGTAGATTTTTATGTTAAAAACAGTAGAAAAAAATCGATTTTGTTCCACGATAATTATTGACCTAGCAATCCATGAGGCCCATGAAGTAGAGTTCACATGTTTTTTGACCTCGCGAAATGAATGAAAGGTGTGGTCAGCACTATGCCCAGCTGCCATTACATTGCTTAACGAGTAGATTAAGTGACGATGCACACTATTTAGTTTTTTTAATGAGATTACGTTAAAATCCTCTATTTTAAAAAAAAAAACGTTTTTATTTTAGTTTGCAGTGTCCGTGGCTGTCCTCTACAAGATATTCAATTAAACCTCAATGAATTACACTCAAATACCGAATTACCAAAATTAGGTAAAACTGAAAGAAATAAAAGACAATGGAATACACATGTGCTGCCGTGGGATTACGGGTAAAGTCCAAAAAAAATTTTTGTATTTGTATTTGTATTTGTATTTGTATTTGTATTTGTATTTGTATTTGTATTTGTATTTGTATTTGTATTTGTATTTGTATTTGTATTTGTATTTGTATTTGTATTTGTATTTGTATTTGTATTTGTATTTGTATTTGTATTTGTATTTGTATTTGTATTTGTATTTGTATTTGTATTTGTATTTGTATTTGTATTTGTATTTGTATTTGTATTTGTATTTGTATTTGTATTTGTATTTGTATTTGTATTTGTATTTGTATTTGTATTTGTATTTGTATTTGTATTTGTATTTGTATTTGTATTTGTATTTGTATTTGTATTTGTATTTGTATTTGTATTTGTATTTGTATTTGTATTTGTATTTGTATTTGTATTTGTATTTGTATTTGTATTTGTATTTGTATTTGTATTTGTATTTGTATTTGTATTTGTATTTGTATTTGTATTTGTATTTGTATTTGTATTTGTATTTGTATTTGTATTTGTATTTGTATTTGTATTTGTATTTGTATTCAAATATAAAATGTAGATATTCCAATTCAAATGTAGTTCAGTCACTTACATAATTATTGTGAAACATCATCTTTACACAGAAATTTAGTGAACTATTAAGAATTTATTGTTATTTTAAAAAATATTGTTTTAAATAATGTTTTAACCCATTTTCAACCAGGTATATGAAGATTTCCGAAGTCAGAAAACAATCATTATTTGAACCAGTGTATTTTCAATGTAATCGAATCTCCAGAGTAGAGCCGCCGTGGGTTAGTTTCTCAAGCTTGGCCTACAGCTTTGTCTGTGACGGTATACAAGACTGTGAAGATGGTAGTGATGAGAGCATGTGTGCTAAGCCATTAAATGCGTTATGTGAAGGAGGAAAATCCTGCTCAACCAGTCTATGGATGAGTCAACGTGAAGACGTGTGTCTCAAGACAAGCCAGATATGTGACGGTGTACAAGACTGTCTTGACAACAGTGACGAGGAGTTTTGTGACGAATGTCCTCTAACTTCAACAGCTGATGGGTCATGTTTGCCAACATGGTGGTTTAAGTATAATTATTTTATGCTTAGTCGGCTTTACGAACGTCTGCCTCAGAATTCAAGGCCCGTTGTTGCCTACACTAACTGTAACAATAATGAGTGTCTGTTTCAAAACGATTCGGGTAAACCTGTGACGATTTGTGATCAAATCTACTCTAAAACTTTCAACAGTAGACAAATTAGTACCAAGAAATTTGCTGCGAAATGTGTTTACATTTTAGATAGAAGTGGTGCCGTTTTGGGTTGTTTTAATAATTCACACTTAATTAACTGTGAACAATTTACTTGTAATGAAGGCTTGTACAAATGTTCGAACTCCTACTGCATTCTGGAGTCCATGATAATGGATGGAGTCGCGGACTGCCCGTTAGGGGACGACGAGAGAGTCCCTGATGAAACTTTTTACTGTCGTCAAGACATCAATCACCTCTACACACTAAGCAACCTGTGTAACGGGAGATGTGATTGTGTTGAAGGTTGTGATGATGAGTTGCTTTGCCACGAAAAATGTCCCTCAGGATTTCAGTGTCTGTGGGGTGTCACTAAATTGTTTGAAGATTTTGATGTAAAATACCAAAATTTGCTTTCCGAACTTGATGTAAATACAAAATTTCTCCACGCTTCAGGTTTTGATTTATCAATTGCTTATGTGCCGCGTTTAATTAGATTAGATCAAATTTTAGAAATTCATCTTTCCAATTGTAGCCTATACAGTAAAAAACTAATCAAACTTTTATTTGCAATGAGTAGAAGTTTATATAACGTTTACCACTTGGATCTGAGCTACAACAAAATAAGCCTCGAGAATTTCCATGAGTTTTCTCATTTTCTTCAGTCATTAAGAATTTTGAATTTATCCCATACATTAGTTTCCAAACTCCACATTCAGATGAGTGTAACAAAATTCTTACAGACGCTAGATCTGTCCTTTACACCACTAACATCTCTTAAATTCTTTAGCAAGAAAAGTTTTTCAATACTTTATCTAAATGTAAGCTCTTCACCAATAAACACTGTTGGTTGGTTCGATAAGGTTATCTCTGTAGGTACGGTAGACCTAAGAAATACAAAAATAGTATTTGATTTGAATACGTCTGAGCTTTTAAAAAAAATAAAAATAGACAAATACATCTATGCAACGAATTACATTTTGTGTTGTGAGAAGTTTAAGGGGCCGGGAATTCCCTCTCATACATGTAACGCCCCAAGTGACGCCATATCTTCATGTGAAAATCTACTTGATGATGTTGTAAAACGTACACTGATATGGCTGGTGGCGCTGATAGGTTCTAGTGGTAATGCTGTTGTCGTTGGCTACAGAATATTTTATGAGAAACATTTATTAAAACAAGGCTACAGGATGTTCGTTACGAACCTGGGCTTGTCAGATTTGATCATGAGCGTTTATTTACTGATCATAGCAGGAGCTGATGTTTACTACCGTGACGACTACGTGTTGTATGACACAGAATGGCGAGACAGTTCACTGTGTAAGGCCGCAGGTTTTCTTGCTACTCTCTCGACTGAGACGTCTTCACTGTTTGTTTTATTCATCACTTTAGATCGATATTTCACATTTAAAAATCCACTCAATCAGACAAAATTTACTCCCCAAATTTTAGCTTGTGTTGTTACTTTGATCTGGGCAACTGGACTAGCCATCTCCACAATCCCCATTTTGTTTCCTGACTTGCAGGTCTACTCGTCCAATGCTGTGTGTCTGGCACTTCCAGTCAATCTGACACACCCACTTGGCTGGATGTTTTCTTTACTTCTCTATACTGTAGTCAATTTTCTCATGATGATTATGATCATTTCAGGACAAATGCTAATCTTTAAACAAATAGCCATGCCCTCTAACTCTCTAATCAATACATCAGCCCACAGGAGACGTGAGATCACAGTTGCCAAAAACCTTTCTCTGGTCGTCGTGTCCAACGTTCTCTGTTGGTTTCCTATCTGCCTCATTAGTCTCATGTCTGCTGCTGGCTATACATTTAGTCCAGACGTCTATGGCTGGCTGGCTGTATCCATAATGCCTCTCAACTCTGCCGTCAACCCAATACTTTTCATTATAACTGCAATTTAATTAAATAATACTTAGATTTTTAGTAAATGTATGTATACGAATATGAATTTATACAGAATACAAGTTAAATTTCAAATCTGACGATTTAATGGGCAGAACATGTAGAGTTTACCTGTACCAGTATCCAGGACATATAAAAAATAAACCGGGAGTGATCTCCCCTAAACTTTCTCTAATCTAATATATAAAGCTCAATTCTGTAACGCATATGTTTGTCGTTGGCATTTCTACGGATTTAAGTGTTAGATCAATTATCGTGCGCGTTTGTCTAAATTTATGAGTTAAAAAATTACTATTAAAAGTGTTGGGAAATCATTTTCATTTTTCAAATTATAGTAATAATTGTCGGCATGTTCATTAAACACAAGTTTTAAAAAAATATCATCTTTTACAAAAATTCTAATTATGTTTTTATTTAGTCCTATAGCGCTTACTTCCCTTTGATAAATTAGGCAAAACACAATTACTTCCCTTTATGAAACCAGTGCATTAGTTGAAAAGCATTTACTTTTTAATTACTTTGTTTTGGTGTTGGGAAAAAAATAATTACATAATTAGCGGGGATTGATCAAGTGCAAATGTTTTAGGTATTTTACGGATAAGCTTGGAGTATTATAATTGTTCATTAAATTGAAACAGGCGCGTTCGTTTAAGTGAGTGCAAAAACTATGAATAAGTTGGGGTACTATAGTCGTTTATTAAGCTAAAACAGGCGATTCTGCCCCGGGCGTTTATGTTCGCGTTAGTGTTTTCTTTGTGTTTAGGTGGGTTTGCGTTAGTGGTTGCGTTTTGATTTGGTTCGTTTTTGTTCTTTCTTTTTTCGTTTTTGTTTTTTTTTGTTTGGGTTTGTATTTGTGTTTTTGGTTGGTTTTGCGTTTGGATTTGGTTTGTTTTCGTTTGCTTTTTCGTTGTTTTTTTTTTTTTGGTATTGGTGTTTGTGGTTGGGTTTGTTGTTAGGTTTTTGTTTTCGTTTGTTTTTTCTTTGTGTTTGTATTGGTGTTTGTGGTTGTGGTTGGGTTTGTTGTTAGGTTTTTGTTTTCGTTTGTATTTCTAATTGTGTTAGCGTTATGTTTGCGTTTTGTTGTTTTGGTTGGTTGTGGTTTGGGTGGGCAATGCCGGGTTTATGATGATTACTAAACACACAGGTAATGGTCTTTAACGGAAAGGTTTTTCACAGAAGCCAGAGCAGGGCCTGGCCGGGACGGCTAGTATTCTTATATAAAACAAAAGGGGATGGGAACTCGGGATATAGTTATGATTTTTAATCCATTTTAAATACTTAAACTTTTTAAAATAAAATAAAATCTCATAGAAAAAAGTATTGCACACCAAGCGAACGCCGAATAAAGATGTTCATAATGGTGCGCAATATTATTAGTACTATAAATTTAGATGCGTTTTTGAGAAATCGGAAATAGCGTAAATTAGTACTTCCCGTCAACGGAAAATACTCACAATTTGACGGAACAAAGAGAATTAGATTTTTTACTTACATGTGAAATTTCATTTATCTATCTGAAATAGAACTCAAGTTATAGGCTTTTGAAAAAATCAAAGCAGAAAAAGTACCACTTCCGGTTATCGGAAATCGCTCAAAAGTTGATACGGATCTACGATTTTGATAAAATATATGAAATTTCATCAACCAAGCTGTAACGGTACTCAAGTTATCGTGTTTACACACACACACACAAACACACACACACAGACACACAGACATACGGACAAAATTGCAAAATTATGTTTTTCCGTATCAGTGAGATGTAAAACGTCGAGATTTGTAAAAATCTCGATTTTTTTTGTTTGCACGATTACAAGACTTTCTCTATACATCGTATATACGAGAAAGTAAAAAAGTTAAATGTCATATCAAATCAATCAATTTTGATGACATATGAGAAAACGGAAATAGTATTAGTTACCCTTTTCTGATTGCCGTAGATCGCTCAAAACTTGGATGAAGTCTACGAAGTTCTACCGGGGATAATAGGTAAAGATATAATTTTGTCCACATAACTGAAACTTTACTCAAGTCATCAGTAGTCTTTCTAATATATATATATATATATATATATATATATATATATATATATATATATATATATATATATATATATATATATATATAATATATATATATATATATATATATATATATATATATATATATATACATATATATATATATATATATATATATATATATATATATATAACTATTTATTTATTTATTTATTCTGTTGTATTAATGAATGCAATGAAATTGCTGTACGATTACTTCTTGGCGATTAATGAAATAATTTAATTAATTAATACATCATAATCAATTTCTTGATTACTTTGGACAATTTCTGTCACAGTAAAACTTAATACTTTTTATATTATTGTAATACATATTTTCATTTGAAATTAATTGTTTTTTAATAGTGTGATAAATTGTGTATTTTCTTTTGATTGGTGTTTTGTTTTTCATTTCTTGCTTGGCTTTTTATTATTTTATTTTCGAATTGTTATTTAAAAAAAGATATACATTATTTTGGAAAACTACTATATCAAAACAGCCTTCACTTACTACGAAACATCAGAATAATACATTAGCTGTGTATATGTTGTTGTTGTTTTATGTTAAAAATAAGTGAAAAAAACTATTTTGTTTTCATAATATGGCAAACCTCGATTTTTCAGTAAGGGGTCATCCATAAATGACGTCACACTCGTAGGAGGGAGGGGGGGTCCGTAATTTTGTGACGATGTGTGATGAGGGGGAGGGGGGGTTCAGATGTTGCGACGTCACATTTTTGCATTATAAAAAAGCAATGTTAGAAAACGAATTTTAGATTTTATTTCGCGTTTTAGATAACTGTTTTAATAAATTGTAATAGTTTAGACAAGATTTTGGAAAAATATCGATGTTTAAAAAAAATTCAACTGCAATTTTGAGGGGGGTTGTAGGTTGAGGTGTGACATCATTTTAGGGGGGAGGGTCTGGCTTTTTGTGACGACGTGTGACGGAAGGGAGGGGGGGAGGTAAAAATCGTCAAAAAAAGCGTGACGTCATTTATGGATGACCCCTAATTGCATTGTTGATTTCCAACTGAATCTCCTCTCAGCTTTTATAAAACAAATTAATTACCAGACCGGCGAGCAGTCGTTGACAATAATATTCAAAATATTTTATGTTGACAATTTGTAAATTAAAACCCCGTTAGTGGTGGTTGCCCCGTTTTAGACGATCATAGATTATTGTGTAAATAAAATGTTCAAACTTCATTGTCGATAATCACGATACAAACTTACACTAAAATTAATTTAATCATTGAATACACATAGCAATATTTAGAAGAGCTTATACTACAGACATTTAATTACTTCGTCGTCTTTACTGTACTACTAGTACTAGTAAGTATTATTTTAATTAACACAAAAATGTTAAATGAATGAAACAAATGTAACATATATATATATATATATACATATATATATACATATATATATACATATATATATATATGTGTGTGTGTGTGTGTGTGTGTGTATACATACAAACTGTGTGTTGCCTACATTTATCACTTACATTTCAGAAGTACATTCACAATGGAGATATCATTTCATGTCGTCATCCTGTTTGGTCAACTGATAGAAATGTTGTGTTTTGGTGAGTTTAACATAAATATTGTAAACTCCCGTATTATCTAGGACACACAAATTGAGAATGTGCGAGTTGTTGACTAAACCACGTATTTAAGCGAGATGCCAGCCCACAGTGGAGATGGGGTTGTTTATTATAAAAGCTCGGGTTTCCTACTCAAACGTCTTTTCCTTTTCTTATTCCTGATCTGCTCAGCACTATTTTGGACTAATCCCACGCCTTCACCACCTCCTGTCTCAGGGTTTTCACAATCATTTTTATGTAATCCTAGCGTCACATGAATGGGCTTAGCAGGCTTTTTGCCTAGCCAGCGTTGTTGCTCCGCGATTGGATAGAGAATCGACTTTCTTGTTACATATAAGCCCCACTTGGGCTCGAAACTAATGGAGATTCCCCTTCCTTATTAAAAGAAATTGAACTCTGGCAGCAACATACAACATGGACAGGGCCCCAGCTTCGTTGTCACAAAAAACTCCCGTAAACCAGCAGCCTTTATCACTAACACAAATAATACTTTGGCACCACAATCAAGCCACGGCTCTATACTTAGTAGTTTAAACCTGTTGCAATAAATCTGTTGTTGCGTCTGGTATTTAAACAATTTTTATTGTTTGCTGTAGTGATTTGGCCATTAGACACATAACTAAATGAATAAAATAAAACAACGTGCAATACAGGCCTACTAATCTATTTTTTTCAGGCAGTAATGTGCTAGCTTTTCCTTTAAAAGACTGTCAGTCAAGCCACATTGACCTACATCTACATACCGAACTACGCACCCATGTGGACAAAACAAGACTAAAAAACATCGCCAAATTATTCTTACCTACAGAAAGCAACATGACCATGAAGACTATAGTAACTATTTTTGAACATAAGTCGAAAGGACTTTTGAAAACAATGATAGACGCCAATGATTATACCACAGGACCTGATTTAATTGATAAAATTGAAAAACTGAGAGTCCATAAAGACTCTAGTCTGGAGAGCATTAAAACCGCAGTACAATATTCAAGAGCGTATTTCAATAAAACTCAAGTCAATCATTTTCACAAAGAGAAAATCGTTATTGTTATAACGAAGAAAAATGAAAGTTACCTCCCATTTCATGCAGATGAACGTATTTTAGTGTACGTCATTAAACTTTACAAATTGCGATATTTGCTGCACCAAAGTTTTGATGAATTTTCAGAGCACGACGATTTCTCATCAAATAACCTTTTGTCTGTTGCGTTGTGTGGTCAGTGCTGGCCTGGATGGTTTATGATTAGAACTAAAACATTCCATTCATGTTACAGACTCCAAGAGTCAGAAACTTTATTAAATCGCGAGTCAGCTTCAAAACGATGTAACATATCACATTCAACATTACTTGAAGTTGAATCAGAGGAAGAATTCCAACTGATACATCAAAAGTTATCAGAAATTTTGATGCAGAGCTACAGCCATATGGACTCAATGTTATTTCACGTCGGCAACTGTGAAGACAAGTTCAACAAACAAAATTTGTTCCAGCAACAACTAAACAAAACAATACCACACAGACTTCCAACACGTTTCTGTGACGGGCTACTGATCACCAAATTAAAGAGTATTGAAACAACCAAATATGAAATTTCCAGAATAAAACTGAATCCAGTGTTACCCAGCACAATGTTTCTTCTTTGTAATAAAAACGTTTTCGAATCTTTGCACACAAACATCAGGAGACATAAAAGATCATCATTTACGTCAAGGATAGGTGTACCATGGGAATTAAGTTTAGCCCTATAGCATGGTAAAACCAAATTATCATTTGCAATTACGAATGTTATAGTTGCAGTTATAGTGTAATTATAACAGAAGGCGAAGGTGTGGGTGTGGGTGTGGATGCGGATGAGGATGAGGATGAGGATGAGGATGAGGATTAGGATTAGGATTAGGATATTATCAATATCAATATTGATGTTGATATTGACGTTGACGATATTATGGATATTGATATTCATAATGATATTGATATTTATGTTGATGTTGATGTTTACTTTGACATTTGCGTGGACGCGGACGTGAACATGAACGTGGACGTAGATATCGGCTGGTATGTGAAGATGGAGATTTAGGTGGAGGTGGATGCATTTTTTTTTTCGTTTGGGTAATGGTTTTGGGAACTGTACGTTTTCACTCCATATTTACATTAATAGAGATGCAATAAAAGAGAGTACATACTTTCAACTATTTTTTATATTAAGCTTTCGAGGAATAAATATATTATGTTATAAATTATATATATATATATATATATATATATATATATATATATATATATATATATATATATATATATATATATATATATATATATATATATATATATATATATATATATATACTAGCGTACCCGTCCCTCGCGCGTTGCCGCGGGGATAGAAGAAAGTTTGACGAAATGTATTAGAAGGATTTCACCAATCAGAGTTTCTTCCAGGCATGTCTTCGGGGGGGGGGGGGGGAGAAGCCCCCCGAAAAATTTTTACCACCCCCCCCCCCCGAACGAAATGAAATTTATATAATTTATATAGAAAATAAATACTTTTAACAGTGTCCGCCCCCCCCCGAAGAAAGTTTACCGCCCCCCCCCCCCCCCGAAAATTTCAAGTGCCCCCCCCCCCCCACGGAGAAAAAAGTCTGGAAGAAACACTGTCACCAATGCGTTACCAATCATATGTTCTTAGATGCGTGACCGTCTTTTCTAAAAGTGAGTTATTTAAATGTAAACAATGCCTGCGCTTGGATCATAAATATCGGGACACGGGTTTACCAACACTACCGCATGAAAACATTGAGTGTACATTAATCACCCACCGAAATAATATGCTAGAACACACTTCGGTGACCGCCCATGTGTCAGAGACGTAGAGGGGCGCTCTCAGGGCCCCCACCCCCCGATTACACTACCGCATAGGCGCTGCGTACGAACACTAACTCCTTAAACCTAACAGGCGCCATCGTGCCAAATAGCATCCTATTAATAATGATGCAGATTTCGTCATTCGCTAAAGTGACACAAATGAACAGGATTTTTTTCTTTAACACGTAAAAAAAGTATTTTACGTGTTTTAAACATCAGTGTGACTGATGCAATATGCTAGCGTTACTAATGGTCTATTATTAGATACTCGATCTCAATTTCTGACAGGATTGTCTAATAATAGATGCTTATTGCATCATGCGCAAAGTGACGAAACTCTACAGTTGGCTCCTCATATTCAAAAAGTTATTTTTTCATCTTTGGCAAGGTGACGAAACTGTACACAAGGATTTCCTGGCGTTACAATGTTATTTTTAGAAGCCTGTTCTAGTTTTACCGCTGAATACTATAGTACCCCTTACTCGCTATGCAGGACGCTCGATTGACCAAGTGCCAACATAGTCGCTCTAAAACGGCGCCAAACCGTGTATTGACGAAAGTTGTATCCAATTATACAATTTTTTTTTTTGCAGAACCCTACCATTGAGTGATCTAATCATCTCCCGAACGTTTCATGGTACACGGATGAACGGTGTGAAACCGAAATAGACTTATTTTTTTATAAACCGTATATATATATATATATATATATATATATATATATATATATATATATATATATATATATATATTTTTTTTTTTTTTTAATTAATCAACTCCCCCAAAGTCTCATGGCTATCGGATAACGGTGTCACACCTTTGCGAAATTAAAAATTATTTTTTTTACAGAACCCTTCCCTAGAGTGGTATAATGAACTCCCCAAAGTCTCATAGGAACAGGGCATTTCCCCCTGTCAATTACCCCCCCCCCCCGGATATTTCCCCCCCCCCCCCCGACATTACTCCCCAGAGTAATTACCCCCCTGTCAATTACCCCCCTGTCAATTACCCCCCCCCCCCCTAAGTAGGACATTACCCCCCCCTGGACAGGGTTAGGGTTAGGGTTAGGGTTAGTGTTAGAATTAAAATTAGGGTTAGGGTTAGGGTTAGGGTTAGGGTTAGGGTTAGGGTTAGGGTTAGGGTTAAGATTAGGGTTAGGGTTAGGGTTAGGGTTAGAGCTAGTCTTAGGGTTAGGGTTGTGTCCTGCTTTGGTTTTGGTTTTGTGTGAAGTTTTAAGGCTAAGGTGGATGCTTAGGTTTTGGTCTTTTTCCTACGGTTTGGATTAAAGTAGTATATAGGTATAAAATTTTAGTTAGAGTTAGGATTTTAACTTGAGAGGGGTAGGGGTAATTCCCCGGGGGGGGGGGGGTAATTGACAGGGGGGTAATTGACAGGGGGGTAATTGCTCCGGGATGGGGGGGGGGGGTAAATACGGGGGGGGGGGGAATGTCCGGGGGGGAAATATCCAGGGGGTAATGTCCTGTAGCCAAGTCTCATGGCTATCGGATGAGCGATGCCAAACCAAAATAGACTTTTATTTTTATATACCGTATATAGAAAAAAACAAATTGCGCCCTGCCGGGGCGCCACCCCTGCGAATTTGAAATTATTTTTTTCGCAGAAACCTCCCCAGGAATATTCTCAACAACTTCCCAAAGTTCGACGCTGATGTGATAAGAGGTGTGGTAATGCATAAAAGACACACAGACACACACACACACACAGACATACATTGCTTTATATATATATATATATATATATATATATATATATATATATATATATATATATATATATATATGTATATATATATATATATATATATATATATATATATATATATATATATATATATATATATATATATATATATATATATATATATATATATATATATGTTGTTTTTTTTTTATGTAAAAGATGTTAGTGATTTTTTTACAAAAGCTATATTAATAATTTTTGGCAAAACTCGCATCGTATGAGCAAGGACGATCAGGAGCATGCTGAACTGCTGGAATGTAAATTTAAAATCCATTTAGTGGATCCCTATTTTCGTTTTTTCAATCTACCCTACACCTTTGTTTGTGATGGTGTAGTCGACTGTGAAGACGGGCAAGACGAGCGTATGTGTTTACAAGTCTCAAATGATGTTTGTGAAGGAGGAAAATCCTGCCCAGCCTCTCACTGGATGAGTAAACGAGAAGACATATGTCTTAAGACAAACGAGATATGTGACGGTGTACAAGACTGTCTTGACAACAGTGACGAGGAGCTTTGTGACGAATGCATTGAAACGCTCACAGAAGATGGAACGTGTTTGCCGACTCGGTGGTTCGAGACCAAATCAGACTTTCACAAATTTAAACGTCTGCCTCAGATTGCAAGTCCAGTTGTGGTCTATACGAGCTGTAACAATAAGGAATGTTTGTTTGAAAACGATAAGAGTAAACCTGTGACAATTTGTGATCAAATCGACTCTAAAACTTTCAATAGTGCACAACATGTTAACCAGAAAATGGCTGCCAAATGTCATTACCTAGTAGGCAGAAGTGGCACCATTTTGGGTTGCTCTGACGGCTCACACTTAAAAAACTGTGAACATGTTAGCTGTGGGCCTGGGTTTTTTAAATGCTTTAACTCTTATTGTATTCCCAATTCAATGAAAAAGAATGGCAGAGAAGATTGCCCATCGGCAGACGACGAAGAAGAATTTGTTGCTGAAATTTTCTACTGTCGCCAAGAGTTCACAAGAAAGTACAGCGAAAGCAAAATATGCGACGGTAGATGTGACTGTATTACAGGTTGTGATGATGAGTTGCTCTGTCACAAAAAATGTCCGTCAGGTTTTATGTGTCTGTGGGGTGTCACAAAAGTTATACACAAAGACAAGGTCAATTATACGAATTTGTTTGACACGATTGATGAAAGCACAAAACTCCTTAGAGTTTCAGGACTGGATTTATCACAAATTTATGTACCTCAATATATTATGGTCGAACAAATTTTAGAAATTCATTTATCCAATTGTAGCCTGATGAATCATAAACTAACTGAAATTTTATTTGCAATGAGTAACAGTTTACATAATGTTTATCACTTAGATCTCAGCTACAACAAAATAACTTTAGAAAATTTTGATGAATTCTACCTGCTTTTTTTGTCATTAACTACTTTGAATTTATCCCACACATTAGTTTCCAAACTCCACATTCAGATGAGTGTAACACGATTTATAAAGACGATAGATATGTCCTTATCACCACTCCAATCTCTCAAATTCTTTAACAAGAAAAGTTTTTCAATGCTTTATCTAAATGTAAGCTCTACACCGATAAACACTGTTGGTTGGTTCGATAAAGATATCTCTGTTGGTACAGTTGATCTCAGAAATACTAACATAATTTATGACTTAAAAACCTCTGAGCATTTACAACATATAACAATAGGCAGCGATATCTATGGAGACAGCTACAAATTATGTTGTGAGAAGTTTAAGGGACCGGGTATTCCCTCTCATACATGTAACGCACCAAGTGACGCCATATCTTCATGTGAAAATCTACTTGACGATGTTGTAAAACGTACACTGATATGGCTAGTGGCGTTGATAGGTTCTAGTGGTAATGCTATTGTCGTTGGCTACAGAATATTTTATGAGAAACATTTATTAAAACAAGGCTACAGAATGTTTGTTACAAACCTGGGCTTGTCAGATTTAATCATGAGCGTTTATTTACTCATCATAGCAGGAGCTGATGTTTACTACCGTGATGACTACGTGTTGTATGACACAGAATGGCGAGACAGTTCACTGTGTAAGGCCGCAGGTTTTCTCGCTACTCTCTCGACTGAGACGTCTTCACTGTTTGTTTTACTCATCACTTTAGATCGATATTTCACATTTAAAAATCCACTCAATCAGACAAAATTTACCCCCCAAATTTTAGCTTGTGTTGTTACTTTGATCTGGGCAACTGGTCTAGCCATCTCCACAATCCCCATTTTGTTTCCTGACTGGCAGGTCTACTCGTCCAATGCTGTGTGTCTGGCACTTCCGGTCAATCTGACACACCCACTTGGCTGGATGTTTTCTTTACTTCTCTATACTGTTGTCAATTTTCTCATGATGATTATGATCATTTCAGGACAAATGTTAATCTTTAAACAAATAGCCATGCCCTCTAACTCTCTAATCAATACATCAGCCCACAGGAGACGTGAGATCACAGTTGCTAAAAACCTTTCTCTGGTCGTCGTGTCCAACGTTCTCTGTTGGTTTCCTATCTGCATCATTAGTCTCATGTCTGCTGCTGGTTATATATTTAGTCCAGACGTCTATGGCTGGCTGGCTGTAGCCATAATGCCACTCAACTCTGCCGTCAACCCAATACTTTACACGCTACCAGTAGCGTATCAAGCTTTTAATGAAGTCATAAACAGACGTCGCAAAAATTAAATGTTTTCTTTAACATTCGATCGTTATGTTGTGAACTGGTGGTGCTCAGATGGTTTTTATCCTTAGCGTAGAATGGAACGCTCTGGATAAGTACTGTAATCTTGTTGATCATTTATTATTTAGTTATTGATCTTTTTGTACATTGTTCATTGTGCTCTATGTGCTTTTGGTTTGATGTTCGGTGTTGTAAACTATATCGAGCCATTAAATTGTAAGAAATAAAAAAAGTGTTGTGTTTGTCCTTATCAGTCCATATTCTTGCTTACTAACCCCCGTCCTGACTAATCCGGCGGGTAAAGGGGCGTGGGCCTTAACTATATATATATATACATATATATATATATATATATATATATATATATATATATATATATATATATATATATATATATATATATATATATATATATATACAATTCTCTTCTGGGAGACGCTAGAAAACAAGCTGTAAACGCGCTCCCTACCACCACCACCCCTACATGGTCTGGTGAGCTATGTTTACATTCGTGGAGCCGGGTTTAGCGACGGCTATTTGGGGCAGATAATTTAGCTTGAAATGATTTTAAACTTAGAGGAGGTAACTAAGAGGAGGCTGCTTTCACGGGGGGGGGGTGTTGGGGGAAAGGATGGGGGGTTAGTGTTTTAAAGCAAATATTTTCAGTGGCAGCATTGGTACTGTCGAATTCACAAATTATGAATTACTGAAGAGTAGAAAAAAAAACAGTTAAATAGCGGCGTATAAATACGCCGCGGGTCGGCACGTATATTTTATATTATATATATATATATATATATAAAACCGTTAAGCTAGGTTGGTGAAATTTCTTATATAAGTATTATATTAAATTTATGGTTCTGTCTCAACTTTTCAGGCATTTCCGATAAATGAAAGTGGAACTTATTCTACTTCCAATTTTTCAAAACCCTATAACTTGAGTACTTATTCAGAGAGATAAATGAAATTTCACATGTAAGTGAATGGTCTAATTCTCTGCCTTCTGTTGAATTTTGTTGACTGGAAGTAGTAATTTACGCTATTTCCGATTTCTCAAAAAAACACATGTGAATATATAATTACTCACGGCTTATTTGAATATGTTGTGTAGAGTTAGCACTTTACATCGTACAACTTTGGTTTGACGTAATCGATCTATAAACACCCTATATTGTAAAGTCATTGAATCGAAACTTTCCCACAATAAATGCCAAACTTGTCTTGTTTGCCGTCAGTTGTCTTTTTCGGGTTCACGTGAAGCTGTACAAATTTACATTAGGCCAAATGTACATTAGCCAAAAATGACCGACTTTTTTTTACAATATGTAACAATCGAAGAGGGAATTGTAAGACGTCACACTCATAAGTGGTTTCATTCATGGCCAGACGTACAAGGTAAACAGCCCGCATTTATTTCAACACAGTTCAGGTGTAAATAGATTCGTGGTCGCCATTTTACTTTATAAAGCTGCTTCATCAAAATGACTTCTTTAATTCCTTCAGATTGTGTGAACATTTCATTATTAGCATTAGCCAGTGGGGGTTCGGGTTCGGGTTGGTTTCATTATTAGCGTTAGGCAGTGGGGGTTCGGGTTAGGGTTAGGGTTGGTTTCATTATTAGCATTAGGCAGTGGGGATTCGGGTTCGGGTTAGGGTTGGTTCATTATTAGCGTTAGGCAGTGGGGGTTCGGGTTAGGGTTAGGGTTGGTTCATTATTAGCGTTAGGCAGTGGGGATTCGGGTTCGGGTTAGGGTTGGTTCATTATTAGCGTTAGGCAGTGGGGATTCGGGTTCGGGTTAGGGTTGGTTTCATTATTAGCGTTAGGCAGTGGGGGTTCGGGTTAGGGTTAGGGTTGGTTCATTATTAGCGTTAGGCAGTGGGGATTCGGGTTCGGGTTAGGGTTGGTTTCATTATTAGCGTTAGGCAGTGGGGGTTCGGGTTAGGGTTAGGGTTGGTTTCATTATTAGCGTTAGGCAGTGGGGGTTCGGGTTAGGGTTAGGGTTGGTTTCATTATTAGCGTTAGGCAGTGGGGGTTCGGGTTAGGGTTAGGGTTGGTTCATTATTAGCGTTAGGCAGTGGGGGTTCGGGTTAGGGTTAGGGTTGGTTTCATTATTAGCGTTAGGCAGTGGGGGTTCGGGTTAGGGTTAGGGTTGGTTTCATTATTAGCGTTAGGCAGTGGGGGGAGGGGGAGGGATGGATATTACCCAAACCGCTGGCAGACGTGAGGTAGGACAGGCGCGTGGAATAAATCCCACTGGTAACATAGTTACACGTGGTAACAAACGAGACAGAAATTATGCTTAAAATTTTTACTTTGTGCGTCAGGTGTTGGAACATTCCTTACAGTTGTCCATAGAAGGGTGGGGGATGGCAAGGTTACTGTACCTTACATAAACTACGTTCTATTGAAAGTAACACAGCCTTGTAGACCAGAAGAGTCATAGGGCAGATGAAGTAGAGTTAATATGTGTATCTCGACCAGCTGCGTGTCTAAGCTATGTTGTCTCTCTGTAGTGTAAAGTTGGAGGCATCAGATGGTGTGATCCACAAACTGTTGTATTTATATTGCTGAATTATGTTAATGTTTCGCCAAGGTTACAAGTCATTAAGTTTGAGCGGTTAATTAGGTAGGATGTCCCTGGATTATTGTAATGGTATGCGGAAGCTTTGAGCCTAGTGTGTATTAGCATGTCTACACTATGTAATTACCTTAAAGTTTTGAGCCTTTGTATTAGCATGTCTACACTATGTAATTACCTTAAATCATTGAGCCTAATGTCTATTAGCATGTCTACACTATGTAATTACCTTAAATCATTGAGCCTAATGTCTATTAGCATGTCTACACTATGTAATTACCTTAAAACTTTGAGCCTAATGTGTATTAGCATGTCTACACTATGTAATTACCTTAAAGCTTTGAGCCTAATGTGTATTAGCATGTCTACACTATGTAATTACCTTAAAGCTTTGAGCCTAATGTGTATTAGCATGTCTACACTATGTAATTACCTTAAAGTTGTTTTTTAAATTTTCAACGATAGCCACGGGAGAAAATGCATATAAAATTTAAAATCGATTGGAAAATTCTGTATTCCATTAGGGGTATTTTAAAAACAGCGAACTTTTTACTTTCTCGTATAAAGAGTATAAAGGAAGTATTGTAATTGTGCACAAAAATCACATGAAATTTGACAGTTTTCACCGTTTTACTTCTCAGTACTTTATCCTATACGGGGTATAGGGGACTTATTTTAATCGGGCAAAAATTATAAATTCAGAATTATCGCAGATTTCGGCATTTTACGCGTAATGGAGTCGGAAAAACTGGACTTTGCAATTCTGTCCGTGTGTGTGTATGTATGTGTGTATTTGTGTCTGTAAACACGACAACTTGAGTACCGTTACAGTTAGGTTAATGAAATTTCATATATATAAGTATTATATCGAGTTTGTAGTTCTGTATCATCTTTTCAGCGATTTTTGGTAAACGGAAGTGGATCTTATTCTACTTTTAATTTCAGATAAATGAACGAACTTTTACATAAAAGAAAAAGATCTAGTTCTCTGCTTTCTGTCAAATTTTAAGTAATTTCCGTTGACCGGAAGTAGTAATTTACGCTCTTTCCGATTTCTCAAAAAACGCATGTGAATTTATTAAGTACTAATAATATTCCGCACTATTATAATCATATTGTTTGGAGTTCACTTGGTGCGCATTTTTTTTTCTACGAGAATCTATTCTACCGTAAACAGTTAAAGTAATTAAAATCATGTCTATGTCGCGATGTGCCATTTTCTGTAGTGTTGTTTAAGAATATTCGAGAAAGTTTAGGGGAGATCACACCCGGTTTATTAGATACCATTAAAACACAAACAATTTGAAACATGCGATACAAAATTTAACCATCTGAAGTTTGAAAAATTAAAGTTTTGAAAATGTGGGAATTATTTTTTACACTTTCTCGTGATTTCAACGCAACTAGAATTTGAATGTATTGTTTTAGAATGACTTTGATATTATTTTCGTAAAGACTGATTTTTATTAAAAATCATGTTTATAAAAAAGACTACACATAGTGCAAGAAAATTTTTTTATTGCTGTCAGAAACTTGTGTCATTTAATACCTCGGTGGAGGATCAGCCAAACATTATGATGGGGGCCATAAAGGCGGCGTACCTGGTGAAAACATCAAGTTTACCTGGTTAGCAGAACATATACACATACATACATTAATATATATATATATATATATATATATATATATATATATATATATATATATATATATATATATATATATATATATATATATATATATATATATATATATATATATATATATATATATATATATATATAAACTGCCCTGTTAAGATCGAAGCTACAGCCATTAGACATTGAAGCCAACAAATGTAGATGGGCTGGGCATACCCTGAGAAGGCTAGAGGAGAGTATCGTGACAAGACAATAAGTGGCTGCAAATAAAGAGAGCCGCTCAAACCCGAGTCCTATAGAAAAGTAAAGCTCCAGCCGTCAGATTCCCAGTGCCCAGAAAAGAAGAAAGAAAAGAAAAACAGATGGAATCTTTTATCTAACTCGTCGTCCCCCCGTCCCCCATCCTTACCACCCCCCCCCCCCCCTCCGTCCCGTCCCGCACCTTGTGCCAGGAATTCTTAGGACCACCGCAGAACAATTAAAACCAAAGCGGCCACACAACTCGTGTCTTAGGGTCACCTGGTGTAATCGAACCTTAACCTAAAAGAACTTACGTGCCAAGCTCTAGACTGTCAACCTTGCCGTTCTTGTTCCCGTCCATGGCGTTAAACGCCACGTCAAATTCCGCGCGGCTGATCAGCCCGTCCTTGCTGGTGTCCACGTACCTCCCCCAGGCCACGATGGACTGGGTAACAGACGGTATGTACGCTGTAGCAAAGTTACTCAGCTCGGTCGTGGTAAAAGCGTTGTCTTTGTTGACGTCAAACTTCTGGTTAAGTAAATACAAAAAAAACTTGTTTTAATTCATTTGATACCTTCAAAATAATAAGAAATAAATTATCCATTCCCTTATACCGAAAAATCTCTCAAAAGTTAATAGAAATCTACTTACAGAAGCTAAAATTAAATATGTTTTAACAAAAACGACACACGTATAAATGTTATCATAATTATTTCAGCTAGCCGGTAAAATATCGTTCAAAAAAAGAAAAATATTTTAAATGATCAATAAAATACTAGAAAAACGAATTACGTAGACACTCAATAGTGAAGATTACGTCATACATTAAGCGTTAATTCAACCCTATTACTAAATCCTACAACATACCTTTTCTAAATTAACCATCTCCTAATCGTAGGTAATACAAATGCTATATTAGCCACAGACATAGAATATTATGAATTTTTTAAAAGTAACATTAAAAAGCCTAAGACCTTATTTTTCATTCGAGTTTTACATTTCTAACACTGTATTGGATCAACTTAGGCGATTGGCGCTTGTGCTAAAAAAAACTTCATGTAATCAAAGATGATTTTTTACAGCAAAGCATGAAATAAACAGAGACGATTTTACAGTAAAATATGTATACCGATTTTTTTTTACAGTAAAACATCATGAAAGCACAAATGACTTTTACATTTTACATCATGTAATCATAATATTTTTACAATAAAACCACGTCAACACATGATTTTTACAGCGCTACATCGTAGACCACGTACAGTCATCACGGTCAGGATCTCGTCTTTGGAGAGTGCCCCGTCTTTGTTGGCGTCCAGCTTAGCGTGAAGAGCTGTGGCGTCACTGAGGGTATCTGCCAAGGTCAAGGTTGGCAGCAGTACAAAAACCCAGATTAGTGACATGGTGCTGGAGAAAACCACATTCAAAAGTTGAGACAACTCAAAGTTAGGTCACAATGTAAACCACATTAAAAAGTTGAGACAAGCTCAAAGTTAGGTCACAATGTAAACCACATTCAAAAGTTAAGACAAGCTCAAAGTTAGATCACAATGTAAACCACATTCAAAAGTTGAGACAAGCTTAAAGTTAGATCACAATGTAAACCACATTCAAAAGTTGAGACAAGCTCAAAGTTAGGTCACAATGTAAACCACATTCAAAAGTTGAGACCAGCTCAAAGTTTGGTCACAATGTAAACCACATTCAAAAGTTAAGACAAGCTCACAATTAGGTCACAATGTAAACCACATTCAAAAGTTGAGACAAGCTCAAAGTTAGGTCACAATGTTCAAAGTTTTGTCCCTTTATTTAAGTTATATCTATTTTTTGAAATTGTATCTTAGTTTATTCCGCAGAGCAAAAAAAAAACAGTTACATTATAATTATAATTTTTTGTCAAATAATAATAGATTGACATTTTTTTTCTGAGATATAAGATTGAAAATTTATTTATATTTTAAAATAAAAGAATATGCCCCTCTCCTGAAAAGCCATACAACCATAATGCTAGAGCAGTTACCGCTAGATTAGAAAATAATAAGTGAGTACTTCTGAACTATCTCAACAACTGAGTATTTCTAAAGTACCTCTACAACATAGTACTTCTGAACTATCTGAATTGACAATGTCTTACTCACCAGTGCAGTTGTTTCCGTGCTTTAGAAGCGTGTGGTGTTTGTTTCAGGAGCCTTCAACGTGTCGGCAACAGTTCACATGGCAAGTGGGCTTTTATTTATCTCCTCCCCCGGGCCACAGATGTGGTACATGGGCGGACAGGAAAGATAAAAGCCGTGCATTTGTCAAGGAAATGGAGCGTAAATTAAAATAGAATCTGACCTATGTTGTTACCAGCACGTATACAAACAACGACAGTGTTATGTTGTTACGAGTACGCAGCCAAAGGACGACAGTGTTATATTGTTACGAGTACGCAGCCAAAGGACGACAGTGTTATGTTGTTACGAGTACGCAGCCAAAGAACGACAGTGTTATGTTGTTACGAGTACGCAGCCTAAGGACGATAGTGTTATAAAAACACGCATAATATGTTTACGTCTGAAAAATAATTGTATTATCAATTATTTACTAAGTAGTAAACTTTCTTCTTATTAATATTATTCTTTGATGTTTTTTCCACGAGATTTTCTCCTTGGAAACTGATCTTTACAACTTCCAGTTTCAAATACTTTTTAAGAACAATCTATACATATAATTATGTATCAGTTTTTAGAAATCAATGCATTTAAAATGTATGTGTTTGTAATGTAACTTATCAGCTAATTGAAGGGAATTCAAATAAACTTTAGTTTAATAACAAAATAAAATGCTTAAATTCTTTGTCTTGGGTCTATTTATCTACAACTCACACGATGAAATTGGTGATGAAAAATATCAGGGCATTTAATTTCATCTTGTTAGAGTACGTTTGATTTAATGTTACAACATAAATCCTCTCATCTTTATTAATTACTTAATTAAGTCTAATTACTGACTGACGGACCAACTTAGCAAATTATTATTAGGATAATATCTCTGTAAGATTGATTTATGCCGCTAGTTCTGTCTTAAGTTTGAAAAAGTTAAAAGCTGTAATATTTGACACCCATTTGAGCTGGCTGAACTCAGAGTCGTCGCAATGACTCGAGTACGGGACTCAAACTCGATACTTTTGGTTAGCAGTCGAACGCTGTACCATTTGACCAAGTCGTTCCTTTGACAGAGGGGCAGGGGTGATTTGTGTAGAAATTTAACGCATCAAAATTAAACCATCAAGATTCTGTCTCACTATGTTTATCAATAAAGAGGTCGGTAGTGATTTATTAATTCTCACGAATGTTGATTATTTTAAATGGTCAATTATCTGTAATTGAAAGCTAAATAATTATTTTTAAAAAGTGTCAAGACACTGTAGAATATTCCAATTTGTTTCAATACAATTTTAAGTTACTTAATGTGTTTTAAAATACGTTTTAAAATCTTAATTTAGGCTACTTTCAGGTTTCTTTCAATGAGTTTAATCTGTTTGACTGTTTGATAATAAAACCCTTGATGCGAAAATAATTAAATTTTGATGGGGTTTACGAGACCAGATTAGAAATAAAACAAATCAAATATCTGATATAGAATATCAGGTTTTGTATTTATTTGGCCTTCCGAAACATTAGATTGGCAGATGCGCCTAGAATAGGACATGCGCAATGGCAAACAAAACGTGGTGTCTTCATTGATTGTGTAACGTGCACTTGATGAGTTGATAGTCACTGATGCGTGTTGTTTACATTATGCGTGTCGTTGACGTGGCGGTTGTTTTTAGGTGGACAAATAATGTGGTGACCTGAATAGTGGATGTAGCGGATGTTTTTCTTGTTTAGTGGATAGTAGACCGGATTAGTGGATGTAGTGGAAGGTCGTCCTGATTAGTGGATGTAGTGTACGGTTGTCCTTATAAGTGGATTAGTGGATGATCGTCCTGAATGGGTGGCTATTAGCCCTGCTTAGAGTGTACTCTAAGGGAGGTTGGAGACTGGCCTTACTGTGGTCGTTATAGACTGACAGAGACAAGTGTCACTTGAAAAATGTCATGTATCTAATAATAAGTTTTAAAAACTTACAGATACCAAAAGCTTTGAAATATCCACTAACCCGTTTTCTTAATTGTTTGTTTTTTTCTGTTTAACAAAGCAAAATAGTGTTTGAATTGTTGTCAAAATTTAAAGATTTCCGTGGCACACAGAACTGCTCGGTGTTTTTTGTGACTATTTGTAGAATGGATTTTTTAAATTTTTTGCAAAGACTGAATTTTTAGAAGAAATCTTTTCCTAATAATAAAAACACTAGACACTGGACAAAGTAATTTTTTTAATTCTCAGCAACCTTGGCAAGGTCACAGCTAGCCTCAAGCTTTCCCTATCTTCTCGATCCTTTCCAGGAGGGCAGCGTACCTGTAAAGACAAGTTGTGTTGGTGAGCAAACGAAGGTGTTAAGTGTATGTAAGGTCACGTGCCGCCTGGGCGACATGTGTGTTACATTAAAAGGACCGGACCAATCAAGTGTCAGGTGTCTAAATGTGTGAGCTGCATTTTATCAGCAGAGAATCAGCTCATTAAACAAACCAGCAGTACACATGCGTCAAGTAGATACATATTAATAATCATAGATACATACTGCATATACATATATATCTATAATACAACGCTGGTGGTAGTGTGTACGGGGCCGCCCGTCACCGCTATAGATTTTGAAACCATAAAAGTGAACATCAGCACATTTGTTCTCCCGCCTAAGACACATAATTTACAGCGTCAGTTTGCCTTGCATGTTCGCTTCAGTATTACAGTTTTCATCATTGGCTTGTGTGGACTGATGTAAATTTACAAAAGCAATACTTCTCTCTTGCTTGTAGCCTAATTTCATTCATTTAAAATTGTTTTCTTATACATAGATATAGTACAAAAAGTCTAATTACAATATTTTTTACAAAAACCTGAAAATGCAAATGTGTAGTTAAATGATGATTCAATGGGTTTTTTTTTAACGGCATGGTGGGTTGTAGGGGGTTTGGGCTTTTAAGTGGAGCTGAAATAAATTTGGGATTACAGAAATTAAAAATTATAAAAATCTTTAGCAACCGTATTGTTATGTTGATTACAATGAGACACATCAAATCAAACAATCTTCCCTTTCGAACATCTATATCTATAGCAGTCCGCCTACAGTTTGTGTTTTTAAATTAATTTATTTAATTAATCATATAAAATAGTAATAATAATTTTTTTGGTAGTTTTACACAGCTTTTTTCCGTTGCGCTTTTTTCTGTTTGCGCTTTTTTCTGTGTGCATTTTTTTCTGTTTGCGCTTTTTTCTCTTTGCGCTTTCTTTCCGTGTGCGCTTTTTTCCGTTGCGCTTTTTGTTTTGCGCTTTTTTCCGTTGCGCTTTTATCCGTTGCGCTTCTTTCCGGCCACCATATATATATATATATATATATATATATATATATATATATATATATATATATATATATATATATATATATATATATATATATATATATATATATAGGGCTGGATATAGATATAGATATGTAGATACAGATATAGATATATGAGTATGAATATTCTTAGGGAAGAGCGAGTAAGTTTCTGATTGATTGTAAGCCTGCCAATATTTAGCCATGAGCCTTTAATGCTCCAAAATACTTTAAATCCCACATAAAATATGAGGAATTGTTACCACATCGGACTTTAGCCTCTCACAAAAAAATGGGTTACAACTGGGGGAGGGGTTTCCTCACTTTATAGAGAACGTTTACCATATAGGACCAGCGACACATACAGACAAAGAACTCATGTCATTAGAGCATCTTCTCTAATTCAACGTTTAAATACAATAGGGGTCGGCGTGGTCGAGTCGGTAAAAGCTCATGGTTGCTAAACCGAAAAGTCTCGAGTTCGAACCCTCGGGCAGATGAGGCTCGTTAGCTGGGGACAGCCATTCTTCTAGGAGAGACAACTCCAAAATTAAAAAACAACTGCTGCCTTGTAGTTTGTTCTTGGTTGGACTAAGGCTATGGAAGCAAATCCAAAAAGAAAAGCAGGCTGAAATCGGAGTCAATGGCCTCAATGGCGCATAACCAGTTGACACGTAACGCTTAATTGTGTTGGAGGCGTGATCGAGTCGGCAAAAAGCTCATGGTTGATAAATTCGAACAAAGTCTCGAGTTCAAACCCACTGGCAGATAAATCTCGATCCCTTTCAACACTAACAATTAAGAACGAAGAAGAAGAAGAAGAATACAATAACTTCCGTGCCACCCAATCACTCGCGTGCAACCCAATCACCAACAAGTTACTTACGCGCCATTCTTGTTCCCAAAGATGGCCTTAAACTCCGCGTCAAACTCCGTATGGCAGATTTTGCCGTCCTTGTTGGTGTCCACGTGCTGACCCCAGACTAGTGTGGGCTGGACGATAGATGGCAAGTGAGCCTCGGCAAAGTTTTTGAGCTCGTCCATGGAGAGAGACTTGTCTGTGTTGACATCGAACGTCTGTCAGAAATGTTCAGAAATGTCAGATTTTTTCAATTTATTGAGAACAAGAACACTTTACGATAGCTATAGTATTGGACACTTGCCCTAATGGGACAATAGCCCCGAACAGACACTTGCCCGAATGTTACAATAGCCCGAACGGACACTTGCCTGAACGGCACAATAGCCCGAAATCACACTTGTTCGAATTATAACAAATAATATTAATATTTGTCCTTTGTTTTTACTAAGATATGTATTGTTTATCAACATTTCAAATTTAAATTGATTATGAACAATTATATATTAATCTATAATGTTAACATTTTTCGGTCAAACGGCCTCCGGGCAATTATCTATTCGGGCATTGGTCGCATTCGGGCAAGTGTCTATTCGGGAAATCGGCCTTCGTGCAAACTGCATTTGGGCAAGTGTCTTTCGGAGAAAATTTTATGTCAACTACAATATAGCAGAATAGTTTATATCAACTATGATGTAGGGAAAGATCAAAATCAAATTTTGAGTGAATCAAGGATGTTTACTTTCCGCACTCATTTCAACAACGTGGAAGGAAGATGGAACATGTTCTTGAATGCCACAAGGGACTATCCTAATCGTTGGTTTACAATTATAAACTGAATGGTTGGGGTGTTTGCATGACGAACTGGCCTCCAAGTAAAACACATTGAGGAGAAATCAACTGCTTAAGCAATGCAGATCAATGGGAGCAAATCTCACTAGATGACATATATATATATATATATATATATATATATATATATATATATATATATATATATATATATATATATATATATATATATATATATATATATATATACTTCTAAAATTGGAATTCTTTAGAGAAGTATTTATATAGGGAATAATTGTCTTTTCAACCAAACTGTTATTCACAAATTGATTTAAGGATGATAATTAATTTATAGATATATTAATAAGTTATGAACTTTTATAATTTAAGGGTTTTTTTTTTTTACTTTTTATATTAGGATCCAACACTTTTATAAATTTCCAAAGGATACGCTTGGCAGTTCTAAAATTCTAATTTGAGTATATAATAAAATTATCTTTTCTTTTTACATGTGTATGATGAAGTTGTCTTTCGAAACTTGGCGGGACACGGGGCAGGTAAGTTCGAGTTCACCTGTTTTTTTTTGGGACCTCAGCATATAAAGGGATTGTAATGTCACGCCCATGCGCAGCCAAAATTGGTGTTTTAGAAGGCAAACACATGTTGTCTGATGCTTTGCTGGACACGGGGCAAGCGAAGTAGAGTTCAAATGTTTTTGTGACCTCAGCATATGGAAGGATCGTGTGGTCAGCCGAAATCGGTATTTTGAAAGACCAAACCATGTCTGATGTGTGACGACTTTGTAAATGTGGGTCTGGCTTTTTGTTACGATGTGTAACAGTAGGGAGTGAGGGGAAGATATAAATCGTCAAACAAATGTGGGGTCATGTATGGATGACGGTCGAAACAGTTATCCAAAGATAACGGGTAGTCTAATAATGTGTAACAAGAATTATGCAGACTATGTCGATTTTTACAATCGCTACAATAAAACAAGTAACTGTGAGTGTAAACAAACAAGGGACAACAGATGGTTTTTACAATGATACAACACGTACAATCAATGCGGCCGCAATCTCGTCCTCTGTCAGTTCCCCGTCTTTGTTGACGTCCATGCTAGACTGAAGAGCTTTGGCGTCACTGAGAGCATCCCCCAAGGTCAAGGTTGGCAGCAGTACAAAAATCCAGATTGGTGACATGGTGCTGGAGAAAACCACATTCAAAAGTTGAAACAAGCGCAAAGTTAGGTCACAATGTTGAAAGTTGTGTCCCTTAATTTTCAGTCATATCACTTTGTCTAAAATCATATTTTTAATATACCGTCCATTTACAATTATGCTAAAATAAACATTTAAATTAAGTTTCACGTAGTATGTACATCAACGCAACACATTAATCAAAATTATTTTTTTAAAAGATCTTTGTGTCGCATGACTCTCTCAGTATTTTCTATACCACTGAAGGCAGGATGCCCGCGCACGGGAGCCGGACGTTTTCCCGAAAGACACTTGCCCGAATGCCGTTTACCCGAAGGCCGATTTCCCGAATGGACACTTGCCCGAATGCGACAAATGCCCGAATGGACACTTGCCCGAATGGGACAATTGCCCGAATGGACACTTGCCCGAATGCGACAAATGCCCGAAAAATGTTAACATTATATATTACTAAATAATCATTAATAATCAATTTAAATTTAAAATGTTGGTAAACAAAACACATCTACGCAAAAAGAAAGTGAAAAAAATAATATTATATATTACCACGCAGACATTTTAAATTAATTAGTATTTGATATTTAAAAAGTGTAGAAACTTACTTTCTCTTCCATATATAAAATTAGACAAAATACAATTTTCATTCATCTCCGGATTTTAAAATGAGTTTCGCTTTCTTTATTAATTAATAGGTTCTACGCATTGTCTTAACAAGGTGCAATAAATGGAGATCAAACATATTTGACTACGTTTAGTTTTTAAACCTAGACCTCACCTCATTCTTTTGTTAAATTATCACCACACAAGTTAAGCATAACAAGATAAACAAACAAACAAACAAACGCGTCTCTGTTCGATGTTGCGAGACGCCGCGCCGCCTACGCCGTGTCATAAAAGCTATATAACCACCGCAACACGTCGGCTAAACAAGGTGTTCAAAACTTACATCAAAAGAATGTAAAGACACCGCCGCCAACATCCCCTTATATTTATTAAAGAATAAAGTTTTTCTTACTGCACTTTCTCAGTTTTGAAAAAAAAATAAAAGCAAAATTAAATAAACCGGGAGTGATCTCCCCTAAACTTTCTCGAATATTCTTATATAAAATAACAGGGGATGGGAACTCGGGCTATAGACTTCTAGACATGATTTTTAATCCATTTTAAATACTTAAAGTTTTAAAAATAGAATAAAATCTCGTAGACAAATTAATTGCACACCAAGTGAACGCGAATAAAAAAGCGCATAATAGTGCGCAATATTATTAGTACTTTAAAAATTTACATTAGTTTTTTGAGAAATCGGAAGTAGCGTAAATTACTACTTCCGGTCAACGGAAATTACTCAAAATTTAACAGAAGGAAGAGAATTAGATCTTTTACTTACACGTGAAATTTAATTTATCTATCTGAAATAGTACTCAAGTTATAGGCTTTTGAAAAATTCAAAGTAGAAAAAGTACCACTTCCGGTTGTCGGAAATCGCTCAAAAGTTGATACGGATCTACGATTTTGATAAAATACTTATATATGAAATTTCATCAACCTAGCTGTAACGGTACTCAAGTTATCGTGTTTACACACGGACAGACAGACAGACAGACAGACACACACACACACAGACATACGGACAAGATTGCAAAATTATGTTTTTCCGTATCAGTGAGGTGTAAAACGTCGAGATTTGTAAAAATCTCGATTTTTTTTTTTTGCACGATTACAATACTTTCTCTATACTACGTATATACGAGAAAGTAAAAACCAAACAACTTTGTTTTATGCTTAGAATTGTGTTTATAATCAAAATTTCAAACATAAATTGATTAATAAATGTTTGTTTGGAAATATTATTTATTATCTAATATTAACATTTTTCGGGCAAACGGCCTTCGGGCAAGTGGCATTCGGGCATTTGTCGCATTCGGGCAAGTGTCCATTCGGGCATTTGTCCCATTCGGGCAAGTGTCCATTCGGGCATTTGTCGCATTCGGGCAAGTGTCCATTCGGGCATTTGTCCCATTCGGGCAAGTGTCCATTCGGGCGTTTGTCGCATTCGGGCAAGTGTCCATTCGGGCATTTGTCGCATTCGGGCAAATGTCCATTCGGGAATTCGGCCTTCGGGCAAACGGCATTCGGGCAAGTGTCTTTCGGGAATTTGTCGTAGACCCCCCACGCACACATGAGCAAAATGTGGCCTACGGGTCTGCATCTACCAGGAAACGAAGAAAGGAGTTGATCTGTTCAACACATGCAATTAGAACAGACGAAAACTAACTTTTTGAAAGCCCTGTGTGAGGCTGAAAAAAGAAAATAAACTGGGAGTGATCTCGATGAAAAAATAACTGCGCACCAAGTGAATGGTAAACAATATGTGTATAATAGTGCGGAATATTGTTAGTACTTTCTAAATTCATTTTTGTTTTTTGAGAAATCGAAAATAGCGTCAACTACTACTTTCCGTCAACGGAAATTAGTCAAAATTTGACAGATGGCAGACAATTAAATCTTTTACTTATATGTGAAATTTCGTTGATCTATCTCAAACAGTACTCAAGTTATAGGCTTTTAAAAACAGAAGAAGAATGAGTTTCAATTCCAGTTACAGAAAATCGCGGAAAAGTTGACACAGAAATACAAATTTAATATAAAACGTGAAATAATAATACTCAGGTTGTTGTGTTCGCAAAAGCACATTCACACTTAAACGCACACAGACAGAATAGCCCAGTTGTTCCGACTCGATTACACGTAAAACGCCGAAATTTTGATAAATCTGGATTTAGAATTTTCGCTCGATTAAAATAAGTCCAATATACTCATTATATGATGAAGTACTGAAAACTGTCAAAATTTCACGTGATTTTTGTGCCCGATTACAATATTTCCTCTATACTCTGTATACGAAAAAGTAAAAAGGATAACTATACACACATTTGATTCATGTAACACAGTTTGAAAACATCTCTCCATACCTTTCTATATAGGGCTACTGTTGTAAACTTTTTAGGGTTATAGTGCTGTTTGTTTTGATCCTATGAAGAGCGCACAGTTATAATACGTATCACTTTATATTATGAGTGTATGTGTGATTATTCCACCTGTCAAACAACGCTAGCCTGGCGTAATTTGCTCACTTGTCGTGTTTTATTAGCGAGGGCAATCAAAAACTCATCATTTATTTTAGCGAGAGCACGTGTTAAGTGCAGAGTGGAAAAAACTTCTGGTTTCGACATAAAAATTCATATAGGTCGTAAACAACAAACACATAATTGACAGAAATATTTAACGATCGTCGTTAACAGAAAATTGGTGACCTCCTGTTCAGCCCATGAATCCGTCACTGTCAATTAATTATGGCTTTATCATTCTTTCTCTATAGTTATGAGATAAAGCTAGTCGTCCCATTGAAGCACCTAGCTGGCGTCTAGGCTAGGTTTTAATTCATATTAATGCAATACATAAAAACAATGTCACCAACCGACCTGTCACTGCAAATAACTAGGCCTAACATTCAAAACAGGTTGAGTTTGACCTAAGGTAGTGATTTCGAACGATGCGAATAGCCGGATCAGTTGGTCTATACATGTAGGCTATTATGTTTTGTTTAATTGTTAAATATAATAGCTTGTCGTTTAAACATAAAAACGGTCAATTAATTTACATAAAACAGAAGTCTGTCGGAAAATTAAATTAACTATGTGAGAGAAAATTTGAAGACCTATAAAAATCATGGGCCCTCCCAGCCCCTCCTCTTCCCCCCTCCCTGTTCATCCGCCACTGCTGCCCTTGATTCTTTAAAAAAAATCAGTCTTTAAGAATATAATAACAAAGTCATTTCTAATATTATTTAAAATGATCTGAAATAGAAAGCCAATTAATTTAGCACAAATTTAGTATAATTATCTCTACATAGTATCCAGGCACTGTAGAATCCAGGCACCCCAATTTGTTTCAGTACAAGTTTTATTTAACTAATGAGTTTAAGATAGTTTTAATATCTTAATTTAGGCTACTTTCGTGTTATTTCAATGAGTCTAGTCTGTTTGACTGTTTGATAATAAAACCTTTAATACTACTATAATTAGTATTTTGGTAGGGTGTACGAGAGACTATCCAAATATATCAATTCAGATATCTTATATATATATATATATATATATATATATATATATATATATATATATATATATATATATATATATATATATATATATATATATATATATATATAATGTATACAGTTGTCCATTCCGCAAATCATATCCGCCTGAACTTGTGCATGCGCAATGACGAACAAAACGTGGTGTGTTTATTGATTGGTGTCACGTGCACATTATGAGTAGAATGTCACTGATGCTTTTGTTTACTTTAAACACACACGTGACGTTGAAGTGGCGGTTGTTTTTTAACCCTTAAATGCATACCGCTACAGACCTGCAACATACCTTCCAATAAAATATTAGCCTAAACATGTTTGATTCTGTGCATCGCGTTGTTTGGCAGCTACAATGTTAACCTACAGCTTGCGCATGTCTAAGTGACCTAGATTTGTTTTACCGCCAAGCCGATCTCTAATTTGTGCATGATCACAAGGTTTTTTATCTCAGCCTGTTTGGTTGGCGTTTCAAAGTTCATCAAAGTCAAATAAACTGGTTCCGGAATTTTAAAAAATATTTTCTGACTACCTAAGGTATGTATTACATATTGTATGTGTTGTTTTCAAAATCAATTCATAATTTATTTATAAATCTTCACAAAACGTTGGTTGCAGTACTGCAACGTTATGCATGTTGACCTACTTTTGCACTATTTATTTTTTACTTTATACATCAGCATTGGTGATTATATAGTACATTGTTTTTCTTCTATTTTCAGAATAATCATTAAGAAATCAAAGTTGAATCAAGGTGAAGAATAATATTAAGTAGATGCTCTTGGTGATCCAAATTATCTCCCTGGATCTCCAGGACCAGTGTGGACCCTGGATATCCAGGACCTGTGAGGACCCTGGATATCCTGGACCAGACTGGACTCTGGGTATCCTGGACCAATGTGGACTCTGAATCTCTTGGACCAGTGTGGACCCTAGATATCCTGGACCAGTGTGGACCCTAAATATCCTGGACCAGTGTGGACCCTAAATATCCTGGACCAGTGTGGACCCTAAATATCCTGGACCAGTGTGAACCCTGGTTCTCCAGGACTAGTGTGGACCCTAGATCTCCAGGACCAGTGTGGACCCTGGATCTCCTGGACCAGTGTGGACCCTGAATATCCTTGACCAATGTGGACTCTGAATCTCTTGGACCAGTGTGGACCCTAGATATCCAGGACCTATGTGGACCCTAGATATCCTTGACCAATGTGGACCCTAGATATCCTGGACCAGTGTGGACCCTAGATATCCTGGACCAGTGTGGACCCTAGATATCCAGGACCTATGTGGACCCTGGATATTATGGACCATTGTGGACCCTGGGTATCCTGGACCAGTGTGGACCCTAGATATCCTGGACCAGTACGGACCCTAGATATCCTGGACCAGTACGGACCCTAGATATCCTTGACCAGTGAGGACCCTGGACCAGTGTGGACGCTGGATCTACAAGACCAGTGTGGACCCTAGATATCCTTAACCGGTGGGGACCCTGGATCAGTGTGGACCCTGGATCTCCTGGACCAGTGTGGACACTAAATAGGCCTATCGTGGAATAGTGCAATGACAGGTGCAAATTCACATCAAGCTCAAACAGTTTGCCACAAGTGCAACATATATCTTTTTTGTAACAAGATCAACAACTGTCTTAAAAAGTATCACCTTACTACATAATGTTGCAGACATGCAACAATGCGGATTTTAATTAAAGAACATGTTTAAACTAAAAATATTTTTTTACTTGACTATACTCTTCATATATCCATCAAAAAAATATAAAAATATTTTTTTTCAATCATTATTAAAAAGTCATGCATTTAAGGGTTAAGTGGACAGCTAATATGGTGACCTGATTAGTGGATGGTAGTCCTGGTTCAATTAATGGATGTCTGTCATGATTAGTGGATTTAGTGGATGGTAGTTTTTATTAGTGGATGTTAATCCTAATTAAAGGATTGTAGTCCTGATTAGTGGATGTAGTGGATGTTAGTCCTGGATTGAGAATTTAAAGTCCTAGTTAGTGTATGCAAGTCATTTGAGGTTGGAGTTCAAAGACTGACACTTGTTCGGGTTGTTATAGACTGACAGAGACAAGTATCATAGTCAGTAGAAAAATGTTTATGTACCTATTACTTGAGAGATTGCATTACTATCTTATAACATACATATAACTACAGCTTTTAAATATCCTCTAACCCGTATTCCAAATTGTTTTTTCTCTTTAACAAAGCTAAATTGTGTTTATATAGGTGTCAAACTTTTATGATTTCCATGGCAACCAGACAAAATGTGAGAATTTTTTGTAAAATGGATTTTGAAAAATGTTAGTGAACAATGAACAATTAAAAAAAATTCATAAAAAACGTTTTAATAACAAGCTTTTATGTAACAATGCACTAAAAAGTAGAAAATAAATTATAGACTACTATTTAAATAACTAAAAAGAAAAGCGTGGGTCACTTTAGTATCTATTGGATACCTTTACTAATGTTAAGGAAGACACCCACGCTTTTCTTTATAGTTATTTAAATAGTAGTCTATAATTTATTTTCTACTTTTTAGTGCATTGTTACATAAAAGCTTGTTATTAAAACGTTTTTTATGAATTTTTTTTTCAGTACTTTACATGTTTTATTTACAATAGAGTTACATGACTAAAAACCATTGCGCGCCTACTGAACATCACGTTCAGTAGGCGCGCAATGGTTTTTGAACGCAGCCATTGAAGCTATTGAAGGTGATGACGCGTGTGGTGTGGTTGGCTAGACATGCCTACTAATTCGGTCCAAATTTTTATTAATTCATAAAAAATTAATTAGGCATCCAATTAAGTCAAATTTAGTTTCAGATTGCATTGTCTTCATGTCTTGACCCACGTGCCAACTGTGAATCGTATCGGTCAAGTAGAACTGTCCGAATTTTCACTCCTGCGTTTCCGTCTAGACTGACGACTGACGACTGACGAGGAAGTGAGTTAAATAAAAGCTTGTAAAAAAAATTCATAAAAAACGTTTTAATAACAAGCTTTTATGTAATGATGCACTAAAAAGTAGAAAATAAATTATAGACTACTATTTAAATAACTATAAAGAAAAGCGTGGGTCACTTTAGTATCTATTGGATACCTTTACTAATGTTAAGGAAGACACCCACGCTTTTCTTTATAGTTATTTAAATAGTAGTCTATAATTTATTTTCTACTTTTTAGTGCATCATTACATAAAAGCTTGTTATTAAAACGTTTTTTATGAATTTTTTTTTCAGTACTTTACATGTTTTATCTACAATAGAGTTACATGACTAAAAACCATTGCGCGCCTACTGAATATCACGTTCAGTAGGCGCGCAATGGTTTTTGAACGCAGCCATTACGTGGTCGTGATGGCGCAGCTATTGATGACGCGTGTGGTGTGGTTGGCTAGACATGCCTACTAATTCGGTCCAAATTTTAATTAATTCATAAAAAATCAATTAGGCATCCAATTAAGTCAAATTTAGTTTCAGATTGCATTGTCTTCATGTCTTGACCCACGTGCCAACTGTGAATCGTGTCGGTCAAGTAGAACTGTCCGAAATTTCACTCCTGCGTTTCCGTCTAGACAGACAGACTGTCGACTGACGAGGAAGTGAGTTAAATAAAAGCTTGTAAAAAAAATTAATAAAAAACGTTTTAATAACAAGCTTTTATGTAATGATGCACTAAAAAGTAGAAAATAAATTATAGACTACTATTTAAATAACTATAAAGAAAAGCGTGGGTCACTTTAGTATCTATTGGATACCTTTACTAATGTTAAGGAAGACACCCACGCTTTTCTTTATAGTTATTTAAATAGTAGTCTATAATTTATTTTCTACTTTTTAGTGCATCATTACATAAAAGCTTGTTATTAAAACGTTTTTTATTAATTTTTTTTCAGTACTTTACATGTTTTATCTACAATAGAGTTACATGACTAAAAACCATTGCGCGCCTACTGAATATCACGTTCAGTAGGCGCGCAATGGTTTTTTAACGCAGCCATTACGTGGTCGTGATGGCGCAGCTATTGATGACGCGTGTGGTGTGGTTGGCTAGACATGCCTACTAATTCGGTCCAAATTTTAATTAGTTCATAAAAAATCAATTAGGCATCCAATTAAGTCAAATTTAGTTTCAGATTGCATTGTCTTCATGTCTTGACCCACGTGCCAACTGTGAATCGTGTCGGTCAAGTAGAACTGTCCGAATTTTCACTCCTGCGTTTCCGTCTAGACAGACTGACGACTGACGACAGACTGACGAGGAAGTGAGTTAAATAAAAGCTTGTAAAAAGAGAACTGTTCTTAAAATACAAAGACTGGAAACTGGACAAAGTAAAATGTCTTTATTGTAAGCAACCCCAGCAAGGTCACAGCGAGCCTCAGGATTACCACAGCAACACGATCGGTGCCATGAGGGCAGCGTACCTGTAAAGACAAGTTGTATTGGTGAGCATACGAAGTGGTTAAGGGTATGTGAGGTCACTTGCCGCCTGGGCGACAGGTGTGTTACAATACGACAGGTGTGTTACAATAAAAGTGTTAGGTGTCTATAAATTTATATATATATACATATATATATATATATATATATATATATATATATATATATATATATATATATATCTTCTGATCGATTTTAAGCCTGCTAATGTTTAGACATGAGCCTATAATGCTCCAAACTACTTTAAAACCCACATAAAATATGTGGATTGGTTACCACTTCGGACTTTAGTCTCTCATAAAAATAGGCTTCCACTGGGGGTGGTTTCCTCACTTTATAGAGAACGTTAATCACCGAGGACTACAGCAGCGACTCATATAGCCAAAGATCGCGGCACAGCTCATGTCATTAGAGCCTCTTTTTAAATTTAACATTAAAATACAATCACTAACATACCATTCAATCACCTCCACGTCACCCAATCACTTACGCGCCAAATTCAAGATAGTCAACATTCCCATTCTTGTTCCCATCTAGAGCACTAAAGGCCGCGTCAAACTCCGTGCGGCTGATGAGTCCGTCCTTGTTGGTGTCCACGTACCTACCCCAGGCTAGTGTGGGCTGGACGATAGTTGGTACGTTAGCCACGGCAAAGTTGTTGAGCTCGGTCTTGGAGAGTGCGTTGTCTTTGTTGGCATCGAACGTCTGTCAGAAATGATCAGAAATGTCAGATTTTTTTTCATGATAATTTACTTTATTGAGAACAAGAACACTATGCGGCACCAGAAAAAGAAGAGAATAGTTCAAAATCAAACATGGGGTTAAGCATTAATGCTTGCTTTCACCATTCACTCCATTGCAGCAAGAACTGAGCAGACTATAGTAGCACTTGCAACTAGAATTGTGCGTTTTTAATGCCTTAAACTACACTGAATGGATATTGTTTTACAAAAACTTCCTTTTTGTTGATTTGATTCAATATTGTGCGTTTTTAATGCCTTAAACTACGCTTAAAGGACATTATTTTATAAAAACGTCCTTTTTAGCGCAATTTCCATTCTGGAGTATTGCGTTTATTAAGTCGTCTTTTCTGGGAATGGATGGATGGATGGATGGATGGATGTGTGTCCGCAGCTTTAAGTCGTATCTCCTCCTCAACGAAGCAATATTGAGGACTAGTTTCAAAGCAATTATGTTAAGCAAGCTACGAGGATGAACATAGGCTATAAAAAATTCCGGGTTTCTTTCATGGATTTCCCGGAAAAGCCAAAAAACCTCTAAAAAATGCAGTTTTTGGCCTATATCTCGGCAACCAGACCACTTAGCGACTTGAAACATGTACCAAAAAACAAATTTTCAATTAATTAAAATTTGGACCGAATTAGTAGGCATTTTATGCAACCACACCACACGCGTCATCACGTTCAATAGCTGCGCCATTACGTTCAATGGCTGCGACTTCACGTTTGGTAGCTGGGCGCGCAATGGTTTTTAGTCATGTTACTCTATTGTAAATAAAACATGTAAAATATTGAAAACAAAATTAATAAAAAACTTTTTAATAACTAACCAATGGTTTTACTAACCCTGCTCTTGATTTACGCTACGACATAGCTATTTTTAGATAACACAAGGAAATTGCGCTAAAATTGTCACTAGACTTTTTTCAATTACTTGTTGTTGATTTGAATCAATATTTTGAGATTCAGGCTTACATGTAAATAACAATGAGACAACAGACGATTATTACGGAGATAAAAAGTAAAACACATACAGAGACAGTGGTCAAGATCTCGTCTTTGGATAGTGCCCCGTCTTTGTTGACGTCCAGCTTAGCATGAAGAGCTGTGGCGTCACTAAGAGCATCCCCCAAGGTCAAGGTTGGCAGCAGTACAAAAACCCAGATTGGTGACATTGTGCTGGAGAAAACCACAATCAAAAGTTGAGACAAGCTCAAAGTTAGGTCACAATGTAAACCACATTCAAAAGTTGAGACAAGCTCAAAGTTAGGTCACAATGTAAACCACATTCAAAAGGTGAGACAAGCTCAAAGTTAGGTCACAATGTAAACCACATTCAAAAGTTGAGACAAGCTCAAAGTTAGGTCACAATGTAAACCACATTCAAAAGTTGAGACAAGCTCAAAGTTAGGTCACAATGTAAACCACATTCAAAAGTTGAGACAAGCTCAAAGTTAGGTCACAGTGTAAACCACATTCAAAAGTTGAGACAAGCTCAAAGTTAGGTCACAATGTAAACCACATTCAAAAGTTGAGACAAGCTCAAAGTTAGGTCACAATGTAAACCACATTCAAAAGTTGAGACAAGCTCAAAGTTAGGTCACAATGTAAACCGCATTTAAAAGTTGAGACATGCTCAAAGTTAGGTCGCAATGTAAACCACATTCAAAAGTTGAGACAAGCTCAAAGTTAGGTCGCAATGTAAACCACATTCAAAAGTTGAGACAAGCTCAAAGTTAGGTCACAATGTAAACCACATTCAAAAGTTGAGACAAGCTCAAAGTTAGGTCACAATGTAAACCACATTCAAAAGTTGAGACAAGCTCAAAGTTAGGTCACAATGTAAACCACATTCAAAAGTTGAGACAAGCTCAAAGTTAGGTCACAATGTAAACCACATTCAAAAGTTGAGACAAGCTCAAAGTTAGGTCACAGTGTAAACCACATTCAAAAGTTGAGACAAGCTCAAAGTTAGGTCACAAGGTTGACAGTTGCGTCCCTTAATTTTCAGTCATATCACTTTGTCTAAAATCATATTTTTAACACACCGTGCATTTACAATGAAGCAGAAGTTCACATTTAAATTATGTTTCACGTAGTATGTTCATGAAAGCAGCACATTTTTAAAAATTGTTTTTAAAAAAGTTTAAAATTTATTATTTTACGATAACCAAAAGCTTCTTTCTTCTAGGTTAGCCATACCACCACATGTATATGGATGTTATCTCCCTAACCCTAACGTTCAAGTTTGAAATTGACCTACTGTGCTATACGATTGAGTACGTACATTTAAGAGATCACAATAGGCTATTCTTACTCACCTACGAATACGTTGATCTACTGGCAACTAGAGTGAAGTTGTGCTGGAACCTTCCAACATTTATACAGTTTTTGACCCGCAGGTGTCTTTGATCTGTAGTGATCTTTCATCTCCCTGGAAATATTGACAGCTGCTTCCCAAAGGCGGATGCGTTGTCGAAACTGCGGGTGAAATGTATCACCACTCACTGGGACGCTTCTACAATGTGCCTGAAAGAAACCCTGAATATTGATACATAATTTGTAAATACTATCACGTTTTTGTTGTTTGTATAATTAAAGCCAACTTGTTTCTTGATTTTACAATTTGATTCAAATTATTGCAAATTATTTCTAACGTTGTGTAAAATTTTAAAGCATGTTTCTTCACTTTTTTTAAGCTTTTATTTGGTTTGCAACGTCTGTTTGATTATTTGTTTGTTTGTTTATGGGTTTGTGACAAATCTTGTAACTCAATTTTCTAACCTTTTTCAAATGCAGCGATCTCGTTCAAACTTTCCAGATAAGTTCTACTTCTATGAAAATACAAGTCTATTTTTTTTATTTAATTAGATGTTTAATTGGTAATTAAAAATTAATTAAGCGGGTTCGCAGCATGGGTAGGGTCGGATTCATAAATTATGAATTACTGAAAAGTAGAGAACAAAATTTAATATTTAAAAAAAATTTCTAATAACAAGCTTTATAATATAATAAAACTAATTTGCACTCCTTGACAAAAGCTTTTCTTGCTAAAATATGTAAAAGAGCGACAAAAACGTTTATGAAAGAAAGCAAAGAAAGTTACAGAATTGATTGAAACATTGCTATCTGTTTAATTACAGTACCACATCAAACCTCATCCCCCCCCCCCCCCACCATCCCGGGGACGCCTCATGTAGACTCCAAAGATCACGAGCTAAGATATGCTTGTTGCGTCATATCGCAGCTCAACGTTCTAAAACGTAGCGCATGATGGCCGTAAACTTGTACCTGAAACATCAAAGTATCGACTCATTACGGTTAGCTTCTAATTGACTGGCGGTGCTGAATTTTTTTACAAAAATGTAATACCGCAGCTTTGAATTTAATTTCTACCAGCATTACAAAATTTGATCATGTATAGATAGGACCGTGCGAGAATAATTGTCCAAATATTAGCGTGCCCGTCCCAGTGCGTTGGCGCGGGTTTTAAAAAAAGTCCCTGGATAGCCCGGGGCAAATCGCACCCTGCCGGGGCGCGGTCGGACGGGCCTGATTTTTTTTCGACAGAACCTTCCCAAGAGTATTCTCAACAATTTCCTAAAGTTTCATGGCGATCGGATGAAATGTAGAGTAATACATAAAGGAAAAATAAAATCTGACGAAATCTATTAGGAGGGTTTCATCATTGCTATACCAATCCTGTATTATTTAACGCGTGCCTTTGTTTTCTAAAACTGAGTTATTAACAATAAATACAATGCCTGCGCTTGGATTATATTTATTGGGGCATGTGTTTCCTACACTTTCGCCCAATTAAAAGCCCGGGACATCAAATCGCACCCTGCCTGGGCGCCGGCGAACGCGCCTGATTCAATTAGTGAATTAATATAACGCCCCATCTCATCCACAGTCTATCTGTTTAAAACTAACATATGCACCATCGCGCTCACAATCCTGCCGGGGGTCGACCGTGTGAAATTAAATTCCCCCCTACCCCCAGAAACCTTCTCGGGAGTGTTCTCATAAACTCCCCAAAGTTTTATGGCACACAGATAAACGGTGTCGAACCGCATCTGACTTTCATTTTGTTTAAATTTACCATATATAGAGAAGAATCATCGCACCATGCTGGGACACTCCCCCCCCCCCCCCCGCGAATTTTGAAAAAATATTTTTCGCAGAAACCTCTCCATGATTATTCTCAATAACTTTCCAAAGTTTCATGGCGATCGGATGAAAGGTGTAGTAATGCATAAAACACAGACAGAGAAAAACACACAAACAAACACTTAAATACATACATACATATATATATATATATATATATATATATATATATATATATATATATATATATATATATATATATATATATATATATATGGATGGATGTGTTCAGACTCATTCAAATTTTTCAATTGGTTTATTGGTTTCGTAATATTTTAGTTGCTGTTTCACGACACTTTTAAATATTTCAACAAGTCTAGTTCGCTCGTCAGTTTGATAACAAAACTTTTGAAACATACAAAGATAACATTTTCTGGAGACAAAACGCTTGAAAATACCGCACATAAATTTCTGATATTTAGAAAAGTATTGTATATAAAATGTAACGTTTAGTTTTTTTGCCTAGAATAGTTTGGAGTGCAATTTCGTTATTAGCTTAAAGAAAAATCTATCAGATTAACATCAGAAAATAAAATGTTAAAACACCCCCATATGTGCTAATGTTGGCGGTGTACCGATGTACATCAAACGTAAGGGTAATTATATTTTAGTTGTACATAATTACAATGAATAATTTGTAGTTATAACTACCCACGTGTAGTTTTATCTTGTCAAAGATCACTCTAGCCTTGGTCTTGCGCAATTACAAGACGGCGTTTTTATTAATTAGTGGCGCGTGCAGATCGCCACACACATGTGGCACTGACATGTCTGGTGTCTGGTATTGAGAATTTAAAGTCCTAGTTAGTGTGTGCATGTCATTGGGGGTTGGAGTTCAAAGACTGACACATGTTCGGGTTGTAATAGACTAACCGAAACAAGTATTATAGTCAGTAGAAAAATGTTTATGTACCTATTACTTGAGAGATTGCATTACTATTTTATAACATGCATATTACTACAGCTTTAAAATATCCTCTAACCCGTATTCCAAATTGTTTTTCTCTTTAACAAAACTAAATGGTGTTTATATAAGTGTCCATATTTCATGATTTCCATGGCAACCAGAACTGCTTAATGATAAAGTGTATTTTTTGTAGAATGGATTTTGAAAACTGTTAGTGAACAATAAATTATTTAAAATAACTATTTTTAAAATACAAAGACTGGAAACAGGACAAGGCAATATTTCTTTATTGTAAGCAACCCCAGCAAGGTCACAGCGAGCCTCAGGATTACCACAGCAACACGATCGGTGCCATGAGGGCAGCGTACCTGTAAAGACAAGTTGTATTGGTGAGCATACGAAGTGGTTAAGTGTATGTAACATATGACAATATAATTTTATTTATTTTTACAATTTAATCAGATATTTAATTAGTCATTAAAACATAATTAATCTGTTTCAATGCATTGGTAGTTTCGAATTCATAAATTATAAATTATTAAAAAGTAGAAAACAAAACAAATTTTTAAAACAAATTCTAATAGCAAGCTTTTAAATATGATAATACAACTACTTTGCTTTCCTTAAAAAAAGATTTTGTTGCTAAAATATGTAAATTATCTCAAGAACGACCAAAGCTTTTATGAAAGAAAGCAAAGAAAGATACTTAGTTATTTCAGACATTGCTATTTGTTTAATTACAGTGCCACATCAAACCTCACCCCCCCCCCACCACCATCACGGGGACGCCTCAGGTACAACTCCAACGATCGCGAGCTAAGACTAGCTCTTATGGAGTCATATCGCAGCTCTTGTTGAGTCATATCGCAGCTCCACGTTCTAAAACGTAGCGCATCATGGCCGTAAACTTGTCCAGTAAACAATCACCAAAGTATCGACTCATTCATTTTAGCAACTAATTGGCTGGTGCTGCTGAATTATTTGACAAATGTAATTAATGCTGCAGCTTTGATGTTAATTTCTACCTGCATTAGAAAAGTTTGATCTTCTAATTCTAAAGTTAGGACAGTGCGAGAATAATTATCCGAATTGGGACGTGTTATGACTCTTTCAAATATTTCATTTGTTTCAAAAGATCTCATTTGTTGTTTCAACACACTTTTAATATCTCTGTTGATATTTCAAGACAGCTTAAATATCGCTGCTGTTGTTTCAAGACACTTTCAAATGTCTCAATTTTATTGTTTCAAGACAGTATCAAATATTTCAGTTTTTGTTTCAAGACACCTTAAATATCTCTGTTGATGTTTCAAGATAGTTTATATATCTCTGTTATTAATTCAAGAAATTTTTCAAATATCCTAGTTGTTGCTTCAAGACAGTTTCAGATATTTCAACAAGTCTAGACCGTTCAGTTCAGTTTGATAACGAAAATTTTGAAACATACAAAGTTGAGAAAAATTTGGAGCACAATTTCCTTGTTAGAAAAATCCAACAGATTAACATCAGAAAATAACATGTTAAAACACCCCCATATGAACAAATGTTAGCGTAATGGTAATTATGTTTTAGTTGTACATAATCAGGACGGTGGTTTTATTAATTAGTGGCGCGTGCATGTCGCCACGCTCAGGTGACACTGACATGTCTGGTGTCTGGTACATTGGTTACACCTGTGTCTTGGTGGTGAGACATTTGGGTCTGCTACAGGTGACACTGACATGTCTGGTGTCTGGTACATTGGTTACACCTGTGTCTTGGTGGTGAGACATGTGTCTGCTACAGGTGACACTGACATGTCTGGTGTCTGGTACATTGGTTACACCTGTGTCTTGGTGGTGAGACATGTGTCTGCTACAGGTGATCGGTCAGGCGTGTCTGTTGTCTGGTACATCGGTTACACCTGTGTCTTGGTGGTGAGACATTTGGGTCTGCTACAGGTGACACTGACATGTCTGGTGTCTGGTACATCGGTTACACCTGTGTCTTGGTGGTGAGACATTTGGGTCTGCTACAGGTGAGCAGTCAGGCGTGTCTGGCCCGATTAGCTCCAGTTTTCCGAAATAATTAAAAAAGAAGATGGCGATGGATAGGGCGCGTCCTAAAAATAAATCCAGAAGACATCGCATCAATGGCGCTTAACTGGACGCCTCAAGGAAATAGAAAGCAGGGAAGGCTGAGGGAGAAGTGTAGGCGCACGGTGGGGAAGCAGCTGGCAGAAGCAAGACTGTCATGGGGGACTGCCAGGAAGCAGCTGACAGAGGCAGGACTGTCATGGGGGACTGCCAGGAAGCAGCTG